TCCAAGGCATTCAAAACTAGATACACAAAATAAAAATTTATTTGGATTCACTGTAATATTCTTCTCAACTAAACGACGCAATAAAGCAATAAGTCTCTGGTCATGAACTACCTTATTAAAACCATGAACAATGAGATCATCTTGATAAACTTCAACACCTTCAAGATCATTAACTACTTTATTCATAACTTCCTGAAATATGGCTGGAGAACAACTTAGACCAAATGGAAGGAAATTGTATCTGAACAGACCAAAAGGAGTGTTAATTGTCGTCAAAATAGATGAAGATTCATCTAAAGGAATTTGAAGATAAGCATTTTTAGGTCAACTTTCGAGAACACTTTGGAACCACGAAGTCGATTTAGAACATCTTCAGCCTCTACCGTCGTGCACGTTTGCTTCAACAAAAGGGAGTTCAGAGTTAATCTATAGTCACCACAAATTCTAGGGGTCTCGCCGTCCGACTTCAGTGGCGTAACGAGAGGAGTACCCCATGCTGAAGACTGAATTTGTTCAATTGTGCCTTTCGCACACAAATCATTTAATGTCTTATGCACTGCTTCTCGAAGACCATAAGGAATTATTCGTTTTTTAAGAAAGACTGGACCACCCTGTACTTGAAGTATTATAGGCTGAATTTTCATACCTCCACCGCACTTGGCACACATAGCTATCAAATCTTTAAGTAAAGTATCAGAATTTTCTTTAGAAACTAGGAAGGACAACTCCACTTTAAGCCTTTTCAAATTTTTTAAACCCAAAATTGACAGTCCTGTTTCGCTAACTAAAAATTCACAAGGTATATATGAAGAATTATCATCTCTGATTAGCAATTCACAACATCCTCGTATGCGCAGTCTGTGTCCAGTAATCCCCAGTATTGATACTTCAGTGGGCCGTTCAACAACGTTAGGATCTAAAGCTTTCATGTTCTTGAATGAAATAATGGACTCTATACTGCCTGTGTCCAGAATAAAGTCATGAAATGAACCAAGCGATGTATATAGTCGCTTCTCAATATGAGCAGTCAGTCAGTCAGTCAGCTACAACGTAGGACCAGGCACATATGTGCATCGGTTCAGGTTGCCATACCTCATTAGCACAACAAGATGAACACCGGATTCATAGGAGTGGTTAGGTCAAAGGTTGCAATAAGGATATAGTATAGGAAGGAAGAATTAGTTCGTAGAAAGAAAGATATGAAGTGATTTAATCTCTTAGTTTAAGGGAAGACAGGGAGTGTATACACCGACGCCATTGTGATCGATTCTGAGCCATGTCACCAAGAGTCTCCAACCATTGGTTACGATAGTCACGCGGACCCCAACCAAGTAGTCTGCATCTACCAACATGGTTCAGACTAGAAGTTAGTGACTTCAAGCACTGATGCCACGTTTTGGTTTGGCCGCCCCTAACTTTCTTCCAACCAATCCCTACACCGGTTAGCATTGCACGTCGTGGTAATCGGTGTTCAGGCATACGTAATACGTGGCCCAACCATCTCAGTCGATGAAGATTCATAACCTCATCAACTGATTTACCATCATTCCCTAATACCCTACGTCTAACCTCACTATTACTTACCCGGTGATACCAGCAATATTTCTAAGGCATCTGTGGTCAAATACTAGCAACTTACGAGTATCTTCTACTCTTAATGGTCACGTTTCGCAGCCGTCAATTAGAACAGAACGAACTGCCGGATAGTATACTCGTCCCTTAATTGATAGACGGATATCTCGCCTTTGCTATAGGTCACGTAAGTTGGCAAAGACCAAACGAGCTTTTCGAATCCGTACAGAGATTTCATCAGACACCAACCCATTAGGACTGATCACACTTCCAAGATAAGTGAAGTTCTCGGTGTGTTCGACTACTTCACTCCCTACCCTTAGTTCAGGTGTTGACGCAGACCAGTCCTGAAGCAACAACTTGCATTTAGAGGGGGAAAAACTCATCCCAAACATTCTGGCATATTCAGTCGACGAGAGCGTTATTTCCATCAGTGGGTCTGTGATGAAGTTAAACAAAAATGGAGAGAGTGGACAGCCTTGCCGGACAGTAATTGATGCAGCCACGACCGAGTTTGAAGCCAGCCTGATTTCGTCGTGTTTGCAGTTCACGAGTCTTAGTTAGGCGACCGGTAATTATTGACGCTAGTATTTTAGATGCTATATTAATCAAATTAGTCCTTCTATGGTTATCACAGGATGATTTTGATCCCTTCTTATGTATTAGGACAATCAGTAATTGCGATCAGTCAGGCGGGATTACGTCCAACTCCAAGATTTTAGCTAAAATGTTAGTCGACCTAATCGCTAAAACTGGACCACCATCCTTAAAGACCTCTGGAACCAATCCATCTGAACCAGCTGCTCTTCCTTGTTTGAGATTAACTATAGCCTATTGAACTTCAGCTGGCGTCGGGGACCTACTTCAATGTTCCATTCACGCTGTCTGGGAATGGTGGGTAGTTGCAGAGTAACTGAAGGCCGGCTGAACTGCTCCTTAAAGTGTTCCACTTATCGTTCAAAATGTCTGGACTGTGAGAAGATAAGAGTGTCCTCTTCTTCCGAGATAGTCTCATATTTGACTTATAAATTCCAGTTTCTTTTATTAGTCTGAAAAATTATCCTGTTCTACCTACAACCGCTGTCTTTTTCATTTCTTTTGCTTTCGTTGCCCACCACTGCTCATTTTTGCTCTTTATCGTACTGAAAGACTGATGGAATTAGCTTACGAGACTTCATCCGTAATACAGATGTTTCAGAATTCTACTGGCTTTCGTAACTCTTTGTTTCAACTTACTAATAAATTTCGGCGCCGTTACACATCTGTCCGTATATCTTTCCAAGCAACATCGGGTTCATCCTCGTCACTGAGTTCAATTCTAATAGGTTTCCTTGATATAGCTTTTGTGCGTCCAGTGAGGCGCAAGCAAATGCATACTCGTATTAAAGCATGACCACAGTCTAAACTTATATTCTAGAACAAGCAACAGTCTTCTATCGACCCTCTCCAACGATGACTGATGGCAATATGATCAATTCGAGTCCATCGTTGGTTTGGTGTAGGGGGTCTCCATGTTAGACGATATCTCTCCTTATGCTTAAAATTTGTGTTTGCTAAAAATAAGCGATTATCTGAGCACAGTTGCAGCAGACGGTCACCATTGTCTGTTCGCTGTGCCGGAATACTAAAATACCCATCTAAATACCTTTCTGTTTGGTTTAGGCTACCTACTTGAGCATTAAAGTCACCCGCTACGAGTACTATGTCTGAACGCTTAGCTTACTGAAGAAGTTCAGAAAGCTTTCTGTAAACTTCATCTTTCACATCATCTGAGCTGCAGTCAGTGGGAGCGTAGGCAGAAACGACAAAAAGGCAACGATGTGTGTCTCTATCCTTCCGAATTCTTACAGAGCCGTTTAACCGAACAACATATAGACAACTGTTGATGGGGATCCACTCTAGCAGTGCTTGTTCCGCCCTAATGCTTAGTGCTATGCCTACACCTGCCAGTCCACGAGAACTGGCCATCAGGTCACCAGATACACGGAGGGTGTATCTCGTTGGCTCTCCGTTTTGCCAAGGTGAGGTCAAGTGAATGACCACACTGGAATCCTGTATGCGTGTTTCAGAGACGCAGCATAAATCAATGGTACGAGACTCTAGGGTTTTAGCCAAGGAAGCCTGCTGACCGATTTTACATAGGGTGCGTACGTTGAAGGCTCCAATGTGTAGTTTAGAGCGAGGTTTCAGTAGACCTGGGACAGTGTTTTGCGCACTAGAATCGTTGACTATGGTGACACTTGAGAAGGAAGTGAAGTGCGGAAGTTTATAGTTGAAAGTCGATGTAGGAGGAACAATAGGAAGTGAAGACGGAGGTTGATTATGAATACAGTAGTCTTGAGTGCTGTTAGAGGTATGAATGGTGGTTATCACTTCCCAGTCGCCCACACCGTGGAAGGGTTGTTCTGGAGGTACCTGAAAAGGAAATTGGATTAGAGGTGGTCTTAGTGACCTGAGAGCGTGGCCGCAGTGCCCAAGGGACAACTGCTTGAGGTCGGTCACACATGACCTCTATGTGAGTAATTTCCGTGTTAGCTCCGTAATTGTTGAGACCTTACCGTCGGAGACGGATATCCGTGTGATAAAGCGATGTGTGCATTTCTAGGGTCGACCTTTTCTAACCCCACCCCTCCTTGTGGGAAGGCAGCATCGCTGTCATGCTGGTTGTCTGAAGGAAACATCTTACTGCTGTCACACCTCTGTACAGTCATCGGTGCGACTTCTCCCCCGACCATTCGGTTTGCTGTTTTTAGTCTTATCCGTCTTTAACCGACCTGCCTGACGTGACGGGGCCTTGAGGGACGACTTTCCCAGCCATTATAGTTCGATTGGTTCATCACGGTAGGCAAGCCCGACCACCATGTCAAGGTAGTAGCAACGACCGGGTGGCACGAACCGTCGGCAAAAGCCCATTCTGGTAGAGATTCAACTCAAAACTTCTAGGTCTCGATGCGAGTGCACTACACTTGGACCACAATTAGGATCTACTAACATACACTTTCAACCTCGGTCAGAGATGAATATCATAACACGAAACACTACAATGACTATTTATGAGGCCAAAATGGTCATCTAGTTTATAAAGCGACATAAGAGCTAAAAGTCCCATGGTAACTTTTGGAAAAAAACCTCCGTTCAACAAATCCTCACTGTTTAGCTGAAAAGTATGCACTTTGAAATCCCTTATGGGTCACTCAAATACAGGTTCATATTTTTGGAAGTACACTCATCCGCGCAATATATATATAGACAAAAATCGTAGGATCATAAGTTTTCTGCACTTTGTGAAGAAAGTATTAGAGGAATAAAAGTTTACAAATTACTTTTGAGAAGTATTTATATAAATTTACTGATTAGTTACAAGATGAATCGATCTACAGATAGTTACACTTTTAAAAATTTAAAGGATGAAAATATATATGATGTATCTATGACAGTGATTTTATGAGTAATACAGCACCAGCTAAAAATGTAGAAATGAAAAGAAGACCATTAGTATGAGTATATCCGGTTATTGGAGGGACAAATTGATAAACACCCGTGCTAGGTTTCATTGCTCTGCCTCTTTCGAGTTCATACTGACCTTGTGCTTTTGCCCACTGTGTCATTTTTTCCACCCATCTTCTAATACGAATGGAAAGAGAGCAAGAAAACTAAAATAAAGTTGTGTGAATTGTAAGAACAAATAACACAAAAAAGAAAAAACTAATTCATATACCATAAGATTAGAGTGAAAACACAACCAGAAAGACATAGGGAAAAAAATGTGAAGATTATATTTCGACAGACAAAACTGTGGATAGTAAAGAAGATTGAACAGTTATCAAAACTCTAATAGTAAAGTAACATGACACTGATCACCACCCAGTGATCAATCAATTGTGGTCTAATAGTAAAGGTGTTAATTCATTGAATGTAACTAGACAGATAGTTCAGTTTTACAAAAAGATGGCATTTGGCTAGCAGTGGAATCCAAGACACGCGTTTCGCTCTATCTGGAACCTGTCCATCTATTTCATATAAACTTGTGTCAATGGCTAATATCAAGGCTGTCTGCACAGAATATACATATGCCAACTAAGACTAGTTTTAATTCAGTCAAAATATCAACAACGGCATAACCGAAACCGATACAAATTCGATTAGAAAGATGACGACTAGAAGTATTATCTTAATCATTAATTCCTTTGATATCAACAATTTGGATTTCAAGATTTACATTGGCGACCTTCACACTCCTAAAGTATACATGAAAGGAAACAAGAGTTTGGGTACTTAAACTTTTAAAGACAAACACGGTTATCGACGTTTCATTTATATGTATGATGAAAAACAGTTTGTATGATTATCACAGAAACTTAATATAACCTAATGAGTTTTAGTCTCATTTACATAACCGGATATTGGAGCATCACGATAAAACTGCCAATCAATTGAGTAAGTTAAAGAGTCAAACACATAATTTCAAATCAAAATCAGTTATTTTTGTTATCGGTAATACATGGATGAAAGCACTTAAAAATATCAATTACGGTCATTCAAAAGTCAATGGAAATCAACTACAGAACATTTTGAATGGTTATATTTTATTTTCGTTTACTAGGATGAATCGCCGGAGATAGCTAACAGGTATTATATCTTAAAACCTGTTAGTTAGTCGTAGGAAAACAAAAAGACAATAACTTTTCTAGTTTTGAACGTATAAATTGACAAAATAAGGATAGTCAATCGAGCATAACAAGAACCAAGTAATGTCTTTAAAACCTCAGCCAGATAACGAGATAGCGGCGATAGATTACTGTAACCACACCAACTAATCCCAATTTATTATTCAATTTTAAAATGGGAACCAGTATTGTCTAACCACGTAGGTTAATTAGTATAAAAATATACAGTTACTAAGCTACATTAATTAATAGTTATTGTGTAACACCAAGTGAAGCAATAGTATTGTGTAGTAGATCTAATCTTTACGGAACAACTATAATTTAAGGTTTACTACCTACAGTTAGATACTGGTGAGCATATAATCAAATTATCACATTCTTTCTCTATTTAACTGTTAGGATATATATATTTTAAACGAAATCATACTGATCAATAGCAATGTATATATTTCACAGAAATGGTCCAGCACAATGTCGATTGCCTGATAAAAGTTACGGAAGGACTTAACTCCCGAAGCACACTCATGTGTGAAATACTCCGTCAGTTTTAATCAAAACAGTCAGTAAATACAGATATTCTTGGTCAATCAGTCTTAATCAATATAAAAGAAGTGTCTTGCATTGCTCTAATAACTAATATAATTAAAACTTATTACCACAGAAAAGCGTGATCCATTGGTTGCTATTGTATTCGCTATGAAGAACTCGTGAGAGTTAAGGTTTCAAAGGTTAATTAAACTGATGTTAAGTATATTTTACTAAAACACAAGTTAAACTTATTCATTAATGTACATGCACTTGATTACGAACCCATCTAACTAATTAATGGCATGATCACGTAATCTTTGATAGAAAAAAATATTTGTTTTAGATACTAGTAACTATTACTTAATGATGAATTGAAAATAGGAACTTCAGTTGCAACACACAACGTATACACAGTGAGTTTTCCCTGGTTAGTTGGAACGTAATTTATCATTAACAATCGTACATGGTTATCTGTAATTTTACGAATGTGAGGAGGAAAGTCAGCAGATACATATATGATACGAAAGGTAAGTAAGATATATGCTTTCAGTACACCAGCTTTTTAAAATGGTTAAATCAAGTGGTGTAAAACTGACCTAATTGCTCAAAATTCAGTGCTTTTACCACTCTTAATTTTTAATAGGCTAAATGCTTAACCCTGTTGAAGGATAAGTGAATCTAATCTGAAAACAATAAAGAAAGTGCGGGGCCAATATTAAGAATCCACACAACAACCTATTAAGGTCTTATCCATTGAAACATAAACTTATACACCAAGCAAAGAGTTATTATACATTTTTGTACCTAGTAAAGCTTATAAAAATAGTATGAATACCTGTGGACACAATAATCTATTGGACAGTCAAATAGCAAACAGAACTAACCTTCGCATTTCGTCCCCATAAGCTTCAAAACCAACCTTGTCAAGATCAGGTGGTGGATGAGGATAATGCATTCGAAAAGCATCAGCACTAATTCCAAAAGCATTGACTTTTCTATTTAAGTCATATTCTTGACGAGATTCCGACCTCCCAAGGACCGAATACGCCTCGCTTACTTCGGCAAAATGTACCTTTGCTTTATCATCTAAACACTTGTCAGGATGGTACTAATAAAGGTATCATTAATTAGACGTAAATAGAACCTTTTTAGATAGATCTAAGTAGGCAGCTTTAATTTCTTCTGGGGATGCTGTACTTTTGACATTTAAGATATTATAGTAATCTCTAACTCCTGTCAATGTGCTGAAATACTTGTATACCCAACGAAAAGTATGAGATAATCTTCTAGTTTTATCAGAAGTGGCTAGGAACATATGATCGATTACAATTCCCTAATAAGAAAAAAAGCTCAGTTACTTAAAATACACAGTTTTATGATATTTCGTTAATAACTGTCTAAAACCAGGGGAGAAACAGCGTAATAGTTCTAATTTTCATTGCTAAAGTTCCCGTACAATTTTAGTGGGGTTGAGTTCTCTGAGCTAGTATTGTCTTTTTAGACAATATCAGCACGTAACCACATAATCCCATCAATAACAAATCTCAATTGAAGCACACAACCGCTGACCAATTTTAAGTTTAGGATAATAGGTGGCTACTGAATTTCAGGGATAAAATAATAAGTTAAGCCATACACACAGAAATGTGAAATAAAGTCAGTAGTAAAAGCATTTGTATAATACGCAGATGCGCATCTGCTGCTAACAATACAGCGTTCTTAACTAAGCTGATACTGACTATCATGGAAAGTTATTATTTATCATCAAGAAACTTAGTATAAATACCATAAAAACGAATACCTTCCACAAATCGTTCAGTATATGCATTTATGCAAATGCAGAAAATATAACTACCTTGTATATCTCAACCGGAAAGTATACGACTTCAAGCAGATCCAATAAACAAACAAAAACCCCACGAAAATGCAGTGATGAAATATAATCCCCATCAACACCAACTCTAGTCAGTCGAGTAAGTCAAGGTAGACGACAGTGGTAAATGTCTAAATCATCCCTAGAGGTCAAAGAAACTAGCCACATTAAAAGACTTAGGGTAAGAAGCAGAGGTTATCAAAATTTATAAGGACAGTGCATTTGATTACTAGCTCATGATTAAGGCATGGAAACATGAAGAACCAATAGGGGAAGAAATATTAAGTCATCTAAGTTGTGTCCTTAACGTTCTGTTATTAGTTAGTGGTCTGATAGTGGATTAACAATGCACTGATAGATTCTCGTAAACTCATCCCATCATGCTCTGAACAGGAACAACAGCAAACACAAATCAGGTCTAGGTTAACCAAAAGTCTAAGGAACGACCGTGAGCAGTGGCGGGCAACGAAAGCAAAAGAAATGAAAAAGGCAGCGGTTGTAGGTAGAACAGGATAATTTTTCAGACTAATAAAAGAAACTGGAATTTATAAGTCAAATATGAGACTATCTCGGAAGAAGAGGACACTCTTATCTTCTCACAGTCCAGACATTTTGAACGATAAGTGGAACACTTTAAGGAGCAGTTCAGCCGGCCTTCAGTTACTCTGCAACTACCCACCATTCCCAGACAGCGTGAATGGAACATTGAAGTAGGTCCCCGACGCCAGCTGAAGTTCAATAGGCTATAGTTAATCTCAAACAAGGAAGAGCAGCTGGTTCAGATGGATTGGTTCCAGAGGTCTTTAAGGATGGTGGTCCAGTTTTAGCGATTAGGTCGACTAACATTTTAGCTAAAATCTTGGAGTTGGACGTAATCCCGCCTGACTGATCGCAATCACTGATTGTCCTAATACATAAGAAGGGATCAAAATCATCCTGTGATAACCATAGAAGGACTAATTTGATTAATATAGCATCTAAAATACTAGCGTCAATAATTACCGGTCGCCTAACTAAGACTCGTGAACTGCAAACACGACGAAATCAGGCTGGCTTCAAACTCGGTCGTGGCTGCATCAATTACTGTCCGGCAAGGCTGTCCACTCTCTCCATTTTTGTTTAACTTCATCACAGACCCACTGATGGAAATAACGCTCTCGTCGACTGAATATGCCAGAATGTTTGGGATGAGTTTTTCCCCCTCTAAATGCAAGTTGTTGCTTCAGGACTGGTCTGCGTCAACACCTGAACTAAGGGTAGGGAGTGAAGTAGTCGAACACACCGAGAACTTCACTTATCTTGGAAGTGTGATCAGTCCTAATGGGTTGGTGTCTGATGAAATCTCTGTACGGATTCGAAAAGCTCGTTTGGTCTTTGCCAACTTACGTGACCTATAGCAAAGGCGAGATATCCGTCTATCAATTAAGGGACGAGTATACTATCCGGCAGTTCGTTCTGTTCTAATTGACGGCTGCGAAACGTGACCATTAAGAGTAGAAGATACTCGTAAGTTGCTAGTATTTGATCATAGATGTCTTAGAAATACTGCTCACACCTGTTGGGATCATCGGGTAAGTAATAGTGAGGTTAGACGCAGAGTAATAGGGAATGACGGTAAATCAGTTGATGCGGTTGCGAATCTTCATCGACTGAGGTGGTCGGGTCACGTGTTACGTATGCCTGAACACCGATTACCACGACACACAATGGTGACTAGTGTTGGGGATGGTTGGGAGAAAGGTAGGGGCGGCTTAGAATCGATCACAATAACGCAGGTGTATACACTCTCTGTCTTCCCTTAAACTAAGAGATTAAGATCACTTCATATCTTTCTATCTACGAACTAATTCCTTCTTCCTGTACTATGTCCTTATATGCAATCTTTCTTTTATATATTACCACCACTGAATTAACTACTTCTATGAATTCGCTGTTCATCTTCCTGTGCTAATGAGGTATGGCAACTTGGACCGATGCAGATATGTGCCTGGTCCTACGTTTCAGCTGATTGACTGACTATCAGTAAAAGCATTACATACCATAGCATTTTCGAAGAAGGATTGGATCTAGTCCACTTACTGAACTAAAAGCACAAAAGCAAGTTGGAGCTGACCATTCCACTTGTGGACTGTCTCGATGATAAAAAAACGTGTAAAGGACAGAGCCTACCAACTCGGCAAACATTATATAGGTAGGCTACCTGTCCATTCACGTAAGGCTCATGCAGACAAACAGGAAGAAGCTCACACGTTTCAAATTGAAAGCATAAACTGCTTATACATGAACGCCGCGAGTCTACCGAATAAAATGGATGAGCTACGTGAACTTAGCAATACTAATAAGGCTCATCTCATAAAAATAACTGAAACTTGGACATCTCAGTTCTCGGACCAAGAGTTAGCAGTACCTGGGATGTCTTTGTTTCGCAACGACAGAAAATCGGGAATTGGGGGTGGAGTAGCCATGAACATACGATCTTGCTTGAAGGTACATGTGGTGTTTGAATGAAGCACTGATACCTTTGTACTGGTTGAATGCTTGATTTCGTATTCTAAATACAATACATTCGTTTTTGCCTGTGTCGTCCTAATTGAATTCCGTTAATTCTGTAATTCCTAGTTCATACGACAATTAGAATACCATATTGGCATCGCGATGGTGCCTGCAATGGAAATGTTAGATATTCATCCAACTCCTGAAGCTTTTGAGGATTACTTGGAAAGGTTCGAAATTTGGAGCATGACCAAAAAAGATGTTAAAGGTGATAAAATTGTGGCACATTTTCTGACATTCATTGGGAGAGAAGCGTACAGCTTATTAAAAACTTTGTCATATCCAGAAAAACCTATCTCACTCCCTTATGCAACTCTTAAAGAGCTATTATTAAGTCATGTAAAATGCACCAGTTTTGAATGCCGTGAAAGAGCGAAGTTTCATAAGATGGTTCGTCAAAATGACCAAAAGGCTCGGGAATTCATCCTTGAATTGCAGAAACAAGCTGCCAAGTGTAATTTCGGTGATCAATTTAAAGTCTTATGCTGATTGTGACAAAAATGCCTTCTGAGCAAACCTTGCACTGGTAACATTGAAGCGCATTTTTGGCCAGTTTGACGGAAGAAATTTCCATATAATCTACAATAGTTTTATCCGTCCCCATTTAGAGTACGGAAACAGTATTTCCTCCCTCACTTCAAAAGGAGAAGGACACCTTGGAGCGTATCCAACGGCGAGTCACGAAATTAGTTCGAGGATTCAAATTCAAACCTTACGAAGAGCGCCTCCTTTCACTTAACCTTTACCCATTAGAGTATAGACGTCTTAGAGGTGACCTTCTGATGGCTTATAGTATTCTTAACACTTCTGGGCATCCTCTCAAACACCTACCTAAGCTTAGTTCCAACACTAACCTAAGGGATAACACCCAAAAACTGGAGACACAACATAGCAGAACGAACTGTAGACACAACTTCTACTCCTTAAGAGTTGTCAAATGCTGGAATGCGCTGCCGATCGAGCTAGTCCAAGCGACTACCCAGGAGTCCATTAAGAAGTAACTTGATCTATTCTTAAGGACTAAGGATAATATCACACTATGATTTACTAATTCCTATTTCCTCTTTTATTTTTAACATACCTAGGTTCCTGCCTGGAGGATTTGGTGATCCCCTGCTACTAGACACGGAAGCCTGTTGAGCGAAAGCCTCTTCTATTCCGTCCACAACCATTTGAACCAAAGGGAATCGCCCAGCTAGGTAATCAAAAGGATGTAAATCCTCCAAACTACGAAGCATAATTATTACGTCAGGGATAGTGAAACTCAATAACTAGGTACAATAATGTGCATCAGTCTTACTAAAACAAATTCGATATGGTACCAGAGCAGTTATCAGAATACCAGCGAAATTATAATTACGAATGAAACGACATTGTTGCACAACAATATTGATGACTCATCAGTCCAGGGAGATATATATCTCCCTGGACAAACTGTACACTATGTGAGGATAGATTTTCATACAAAGATCCACATGACCATTAAGAGCATTTTATTCGAATGGCCAAAATATATGACTTGATATATTTCGACTGGTCAGTCAAACATAACTGCAGTACTTCGAAGTACTTCAGGCATCTTTTCAGTTTCAGTTTCAGTTTGGGAAGGACAGGAGGCTCGATGGCCTATGTTAGTCCTGGCAATGGTGGTCTCTCAGTTGATCCAACTTTCTTTTGAAAGAGTGGACGGATGGAGCCTCAACCACGTGCTGAGGTAGTGAATTCCACTCGTTGATGATTCGATGGGAAAGTCGATAGTCAGCTGACAAGTAATTTGTTCTCGGCTTGTAAACTATTTTGGAGTGTCCTCGTAAATTCTCTGTTTTGGAAGACAAGAAAAATGAGGGCATGTTAGGTGCAAATTTATCACTAAGCAATTTGTAGACTGTAATCAAGTCGCCTCTAGTTCTGCGATATGACAACGGGAAAAGGTTCAGCTTGGCCAGTCGTGATTCATACGGAAGCTTCGCTATTGCGGGAACCAGCTTAGTCGCCGTTCTCTGAACCTTTTCCAGAAGCTCACTGTCTTTTTTAAAGCAGGGGCTAGCCGCTTGTATGCAGTACTCAAGTTTAGGACGAACGAACACTGTATACAAAGTCAAAAACGTCTTAGTGTCGACATGACTAAAAGCCCTACGTATTGACCATATTGTTCTAAAACTTTTGGCGGCTATTGCACGGCAGTGTGTAGTAGTCATTAAGTCTTGACTAACGATAACTCCTAAGTCATTATATGTCTGGACGACAGGTAGCTCAGTGTTATTCATCGTGTATGTATCTGTACCTTGATGACCGATATGCATCACAACACACTTGGAAGTATTTATCGGCAACTGCCATGTTTGAGACCATTCAGATAACTTCTTCAGGTCATTTTGAAGTTCTAAGCTATCACTCTTACATCGTATCGTTCTCCATATCTTGACATCGTCAGCATATAGCAAGACCGATGATGATAGGAGACAAGGAAGGTCATTTACATACAAGAGGAATAGCACTGGCCCCAAAACTGTACCCTGGGGCACTCCACTAAGCACAGTTTCCCAGCTAGATAACTTTGAGTTCACCCTTACTCTTTGTTGACGCCCAACTAAGAAGTCCTTTATCCACATCAATAAATTACCTCCAATCCCGACATGTCTTAACTTATATAACAGCCGGTTGTGCGGAACTTTATCAAAAGCTTTACTGAAATCAATGAAGGCGACGTCTACAGGTAACTTTTGGTCCTTAAGAGCACACCAGCTTTCACGAGCCACTAATAAGTTAGTGAGACAAGAATAACCTATTCTGAAGCCATGCTGCTTCTCCGAGAGGATCCGGTTTTTATCGAGATACTTAAACAGCTCCTTCCGATTAATCTTTTCTAATATTTTAACAACCACACTAGTTAGGCTAACGGGGCGGTAGTTCTCAGGTTTGTGTTTCGTGCCTGTTTTGAAGACAGGACTTACTATGGCGTTTTTCCAATCTTTCGGTAAGCGACCCTGCGTAACGGATAGGTTAAAGCATGTACTTAAAGGGTTCGCAACGAAATTAGATAATTCCTTCAGTAGCCTAGGATGTAATTCATCGGGCCCCGTGGATTTACCTATGTCAAGCTTATTTAGCAGACCAAAGACATCGAGTTCTTTAATGGTCACGCTATCCAGTGTATGTATGGGGGGATCTGTATACGCTGACGAGAAGGACGCTTCTATGGTATACACGTTGCTAAAGTAGTTCGAGAACGCTTGAGCCTTACCAAAGTCGTCCTCCACTAATGATGAAGCAGTACTGTCTCCCCATAGAGCAGGAATATTTCCTTTTCTCCTTGTCCTTTGGTTTATATAGGAATACAAGCGTTTAGAACATTCTATGGATTCCTTAACAAGTTTTTCTTCATACAATTTTCTAGACTTACGGAGGGTCGAGGCACAAGTGTTCCGAGCCTTTCGATACTGAGATTTTGACTCATCAGTCCCCAGTAACCTAAATCTATCCCACGTTTTCCTTTTCTTACGGAGAAGGATACGGACCTCCCTACTGAACCATGGTGGTGAGTTTTTCGGCCCCTTTGGTATAGTCCAAGGGATGTGAGGTGTGGTAACTTTTAAGTATGATTTTCGAAATGCGTCCCAGGCCGTTTCAATGGAGGACTCTGGGTCTATTGTCCAATCTATTAACGATGCTGAGTGCACGATGTCTGGTATGTTTGCTTTCCAGACGTTGGGTCTGGACTGGACTGACGCGTCCTCATGACTGGCAGTTATATGGAAGTCGAAAGTTAAAACTGCGTGGTCACTTTTACCTAAAGGTGGCATATGGTGGAGGTTCGCAACATCATCCTCATAGTGAGTCAGTATAAGATCTAATAAGGATGATTCAGTGTCCGGGTCGTACCTAGTCGCTTCTTTCACATGTTGCACTAGGGCACATGTGATAACCCCATCAACTAGTTCCTGCTCGAAGGAATTTTCTGACGATTCAGTTCGCAGATTTTCCCAGTCTACCATAGGTGCATTAAAGTCCCCTAGGATTAGACATCGACCACTTTGGGACCAAGTATTGAGACTGCTTAACAGGATCTCATTTGCCTCACAGCTTGGACTGCGATAGACCAAACCAATCAGCAGCTCTTGTCCCTTGCATTTTAAGCGAAGACTAACTAATTCACACGTCCCACTCTCATGGGATACACTATCGATAATGGTAAATGGGATAGCATTCCTAATGAATAGAGCTACTCCCCCTCCTTTGCGCTTTTGTGTTCTGTCGGCCCTTACTAACGTAAAGCCCTCGAAATCAAGTTCTATACTATCTATAGCCTGTGTCAGCCAGGTTTCTGTTACTGCGATTATATCTGGCTTTGTAGAGTCAATCTGTACACCTAGTTCCGATCGCTTATTAAGTAAGCTTCGTGCATTGGTGTAACAGATCCGAAGCCTGTTTAGGTGCCTTCGTGCTTCACCCAGAGTGGCTTCGGCATCATTCTCTGTCGAAGTCTTACAACCCGAAAATTTACAATTTTCAGGTCCTTTTCGCCAGCGTCTAACCTATGTTGTAGTCCTTTCTCGGCTTCCCGTCTTTTAACACGGTCTGCCAACGGCAGGTCCTTTCGGATAAAGACTCCTGAACCCTTTAATTTGTGTCCATTTTGTAAAATTAGGTCACGTTCGTTTGAAGAGCCGAATACTACTTTAAGCAGTCTGGAATGATTTGATTTCGAGTCCGTTAGACTCCCTAGTCTATACACCTTTAGCAAGGTGACCCCAGTCATATTTTGAGGCATGAGTTGATTAAGCAGCTGCCTAATCAGTACAATGTCATGCTCAAAACGAGCTTTAGGTTCAGAGCTATCGCTCTCCTTAATTCTATGAAAAATAGCTGATCTGTCGCTATGATCAGCTTTCGATTTTTCAACCACTTTTACGGGGGCAGGTTTCCCTTTTATATCAATACTTTTCTTCCTTACAACCTTTACCCATTCGTCAACGCTGCTGGTAGAAGCAATAGCAGTTGCGTCAGACCTAGTGTTGGGTTTTGGGGGGTTGTCGACGACCTGAGGGGTCGTGTTATGTTTACCATTTGAAACCGATCGAGCCTTGCGATTGCGGCTCCTAGGTGTTTCCTGTTGGATCCAATCTGGGAGACGGGGAACAGAAGACCCTACTTTTCTTGAGCTTTTTTTAAAGGTAGGCCCCTTTGGAGACTGCTTTTCCTTCTTTGACCGGCGTGAGTCATCTATCACCGGACTCACTTTAGTTTCCTTCACATTGATTTGCGTGTCAACAGATCGAGTGCTGTTTGACGCGTTCCGACTATGCTTGTTGAAACACTTCTTTGCAGCATCAACCAGTGAGATGGCCTCGGTTAACAAGCTGTTTGCATCCGAGCAGCACTGTTGACAAAGCCACACACAACCCTTCTTACTGAACCGTTTGAAAGCAGCAGGCGTTAAATTCGTGCAAACTTCGTGGTACCAGCCTTTACACTCGTCGCACTGCATGCCGCTTTCAACAGGATAACGACAACCCGGACGTTGGCAACTGCTTTTTTTACACTGTCCGGTCATTTAGGAGGGTTTTTTTCAATATGCGATGATACCCAGAAACAAAAAAATTATCAATGATCAAAAAAAGTGAAGAGCTGTAGATTGCTAGGACCAAAAGTACTAACAGATACAGTTGAAAAAGAGGTACTAAAGAGTACCAACGACAAAACAGTAAAAACGATACTTTAGTCGAATACTTTAACTGAAATAAATTCAATTAAAGTGAAAAACAGTAGTCTTGATACGTAATAAACGATCAAAACAATGAAATTTACTCAGCGAGGAAAAATACCACTGTCCTTTTTAAATGTTAACAGCTATATATATTGCAGATCTGCAATAAAATGCATTAGCTGGTGTCTAGACTTCTCAGTTAATGTAATCTCGCTTTAAAATATAAAAGAGAATCGAGATAAACAAAGACCAAACAGTCGGCCAGTGATCAGAGCTACCTTTCTGTAGTTTACAACGAAGTCAAGTACCGATGACCTTGTAGCGGTAAATAAATCCCCAAAATAAATAGCACTAAGTTTTCGACATTGGATGCTGACCATATGTTTTAGTGGACTCACCTAGCTGAAGGCGCTCGGTCAGGCATCCACACCAGATCACGTGTGGTAACGCCGTGCTCAACATCAACCGCAATCGCTAGCCAGATTAGGTCAGAGAATCCCGATATATTGGTCATCGCCAAATATACTCTTCCGATCTCCTCGACTCTGTCTTTTGATTTCTCTGGGCGGGAACGAAATATATTAGAAGGTGTTACTGGTAGAAGCGTTGTCAAACACTGAATACCCGTGACATTATCATTGGTGAAACCGACGTGATCTGGTACACCTAATTGCAACTGTGAGTCTGTTCCTTTTTGGGATTTTTATATATCATTGCCTTATTTTTTAATTTTTTTTTAAACATTGTGATTTTTTTTCGTGTTTTTTTTTCTTGGATATATATATATTTTCCCCTCGTTCATTATCGTACTTCATACTTCATCATGACTGAACAGACACCTAAAGTACTCAAGCTTAAGACTTTGTCCCCGCCTTCGTTTCAACTGATGCCTTTCTGGCCCGACAACATCGAAGCCTGGTTTTGCTACGCAGAAGCCGACTTCTCCGAGCACGGCGTGATCGACACACGTGCACAATTCCTCGCAGTAGTCAAGGCACTACCGCGCGAATTCAACAGGTACGTAACACCTAGTATGTTTACTAGTGATGTTTCCGATCCTTACGAAATCTTAAAACACTCGATTCTTAAACGAGGAGATCTAACTGATCGACAAAGGTTAGATCAACTCTTCAACAATATCGACCTGCAACACGGTTCTGCGACGGACATGTTGCAACGGATGAGAGAGGTAATAGGCCCAAGAACTTTCAACGAAGGTCTATTCAAACAACTCTTCTTGTCAAAACTTCCCCAACAGGTGCAAGCAGTTCTGGTCTCGTTCCAGAACAACGCCTTAGACGAGCTAGCTGCATCTGCCGACCGCATTTTAGAAATTACGAAATCTACTACCGAGGTATTTTCAGTCAAAGAAAAACCTCAAACGACTCAGAATGATATAACCGACTTATGTCACACACTCACGCGTTATCTTAGTCCTCGTACCGATCGTAAGAGTTCGCGCACACCACGTAGAAGCATTTCTCGTAAGCGATCTGTCTCTAGACCACGAGAGACAGATAACCCCGATTGGTGCTGGTATCATAACCAGTATGGAAAGTCTTCCAGAAATTGCAGAAAACCCTGCAATTTTCCCAACACGAAACCGACTGATTCGAAAAGCAATTCGGGAAACTTCCAAGCCGGCACGCGTTAACGGCAACCGTAGCCGGCGAACAAAGCCGTCTGTTATTCGTCACAGATGTGACAACGAGAGTTCGCTACCTCGTCGACACTGGCGCAGAAGTTAGCGTTCTCCCAGCGAATCCTAACGACCGACTTCACGAATCGACCCTAAACTTACAGGCGGCAAACGGAAAACCGATCGCTACGTATGGCAAAAGGTACGTTTACCTTAACGTGGGTTTACGCAAACCCATTCACTGGATTTTCGTTGTTGCAGATGTTTCTATGCCAATCATTGGTATGGACCTTCTACAACACCACAATCTGATCATCGACACTCGCAAACGGAGGCTAGTAGACGGAAACACTAGTTTGTCCGTTTGCGTAACTTCTTTTACTGGTTGTAGAGTATCCCCAGTCACAGTTAAACATATGATAGACCCACTCTATCAACCACTACTCGATAAGTACCCTGGGATACAACAAACGCAACCGAGATTACCGTGTGTAACCAGCAATGTTACACATCACATCACGACTACAGGACCACCTGTATTCTCTAAAGCACGACGACTAGCTCCTGAAAAGCTAAGGTTAGCGAAGAACGAATTCGATCACATGATAGATTTAGGAATCATACGACCGTCAAGTAGCCCATATGCATCTCCGTTGCACATGGTCCCTAAAAAGGACAGTAACGATTGGCGTCCAACTGGTGACTATCGGCGATTGAACGCGAAAACCATTCCCGATCGTTACCCGTTGCCTCACATTCACGATTTGACAGCTACCTTGAAAGGTACAACTGTCTTTTCGAAAATCGACTTGGTTAAAGCGTATAACCAAATCCCTATGGCTACTGACGACATACCGAAAACAGCTATCATAACTCCTTTCGGACTCTATGAATTTTTGCGAATGCCTTTCGGTTTAAAGAATGCTGCTCAAACATTCCAAAGATTCATAGACGACGTTTTTCGAGGTCAGACTGTTGAAGCAGACTGTTGATTTGATGCAAAATTACTTAAGTGTAGCGAGCTTTGGTATGAATAATTCAATTTTTTGTCAGTTATTTCTGACGTTAAAGATAGAGGTTTATGGTTGATGTTTCAGGCTATGAATTAAAGTAAGAAGTTTAAGCAAGGTTCAAATGGTTCAAATGGTTGTGGACGGAATAGAAGAGGCTTTCGCTCAACAGGCTTCCGTGTCTAGTAGCAGGGGATCACCAAATCCTCCAGGCAGGAACCTAGGTATGTTAAAAATAAAAGAGGAAATAGGAATTAGTAAATCATAGTGTGATATTATCCTTAGTCCTTAAGAATAGATCAAGTTACTTCTTAATGGACTCCTGGGTAGTCGCTTGGACTAGCTCGATCGGCAGCGCATTCCAGCATTTGACAACTCTTAAGGAGTAGAAGTTGTGTCTACAGTTCGTTCTGCTATGTTGTGTCTCCAGTTTTTGGGTGTTATCCCTTAGGTTAGTGTTGGAACTAAGCTTAAGTAGGTGTTTAAGAGTTTTGGAGTTATAAATTATAACCAAGATTAGGTTTTAGAATTTTTAATTAGGATTAAGGTTTTCGTTATGTGTGTGTTCCCAAGGGTAGGCAAGCCATGCACACCTTCTGGACTCGGACCTACGTGACGAATTGCATGAGTCTTTGTAAGGTGGCAGGGGAATCGATCATTCTGAAAGGCATTGTCCGGATCTCGTATAACTTTTTGGGGACGACAGTTGTCATTTTGGCTCTGTCGTTCGGATGTTCCTTGACCTGAGAGATGCCTAATGCCACGCTCAAGGTTGAAAACCATTTGGACCTCGATAGTACCTCCAAAGTTTCATCACCAAACGTTTCCAGTCTTCCTTCTGGTAGGCACTACTGGGTATGCCCATGAAGACTGTGATTGTATATTAAGGCCATTGTTCAATACTTCCATTATCATATAAGACAATCCGGATTGAATTTCGATCGAGGTTCTCCAGAGCCCTTATCTAATAACATTGCACTTTCTGTATTAATCTGATGAATTATTAGTTTGTTCCTTTCTAATTCTGTAAATGTCTATACAGTGACTTTAGAATTAACCCTCAGTGACTTAAGAACTTCTGCCTGCTCATTGTTTTGAACCTCTGACAATAATTGTTTGATTGGTGTCTTCGATATCGTGTCGATCAACAGACGTAGTAATACTCACATATTTCTGATAGAGCGAGGGTACGCCATTTTTACAGGCATGCTCAATGATTTAAAACATTGGTTTACAGATAAGATACAGCTCATGTAGGGTAAAATCAGTGAAAATAAACGGAAGAATATTCGCGCAGATATGCCAGAAAGTCAGCAATTAGGTATATGCGTTAGTAATGTACTATGAGTTCTCAGTTTACACGATCTGTTCAAAGCGTAATTGAGTCCACGTTGGGATCATGACAAACTCACATCACGTCCAAACATGGTGAAGATGGCACAGGTGTTCAGTGTTTGACAACGCCTTAACCAATAACATCTAATATAACTCGTACCCACCAAGAAAAATCGAAAGACAGAATCGAGGAGATTAGAAGATATATTTGATAACTATCAATATATTGAGAATCGTCTGATCTAATCTGGCTAGCGATTTCAGTAGATGTTGAGCACGGCGTTCCCACTCGTGATCTGGTGCGGATGCATGACCGAGCGCCTTCAGCTAGGTGAGTCCATTAAAACATGTGGTCAGCATCCAATGTCGAAAACTTACAGAGCTAATTATTTTGGGGATTTATTTACCGCTACAATGGCATTCAAGTGTTAGAATTTTGCTGCTCCCAGGTGTTTATCTACTGCAACTGTTTGATAAGTTTATGGTTAATATAAAATTGCAACTAAAAGGTGCATAATATGAGCTATGCATTTGTAAAACCTGTACGAAGAAGCTCCATAGCTATGTAATGCGAACGTGATGCTATAAGGATGAGAAAAAGGCAGAACAAGATTTCGGCCGAAGTATGGTAAATTAGTAGATGAAACTCATACTAGCTGTCATTATTAGGGTGGACTGTGTTTAATGAGTTTCCAGATAAGAGAGTTAAGTAATAAATAAAAATAAAATGTGGTGTGTAACGAGACGGAACTGAGTGGAATGATGAGGGACTGTCACACTTGGAGTCTAGAAGACTGTTTATCCCAACCGGAAGTGCATCAAAAGAGAAAGGAGTCCTAACAAACGCTAATAACTATATCTTT